ATAAAACTAGAAGTAAATCGTTACTGTTCAGACCATGTTGTTTCTCCCAAATATTTCCAAAAATATCTTTTTTCAGTTAGTTGGTCCACAGGTTGTATTGTTTTAAATGTAATTAAGCATCTAGAGGGCCAGTAAATTTTTTTATTATTATCTGGTTTAAACCAAATTAATAAAAACTGAATCCAAATAAATAAATACATAATCAATAAATACAGCTCACAAGTCACTCACTACTGACCTGGGCAAGTCACCTCCATTCTGGGCCTGGAATTCCTAATCTGAAAAGTGATGGGGTGGGGCTAGACAAGGTATTCAACCCTAACCCTCTGGGATCTGCGAAACCAGATGCAAAGGAGGGAGGGGTCTCAACCTGGTCTGTGCCTTAAAATCCCCTACAGATTCCCTCACTCCTCCTCCCAAGGATGTTAAATACGAGAGCTTGGGGGTTCTCCTGTGTGAGGCCCACATCCCAGAGGCCGGTATAAAGTTAGAGACTTAACAGAGTCAGGGAAAGAAAATATCCTGGGCTTACTCAACAGCATATTCAAAAAAAGATTTTTGCCTCATGACACACCAATTCAATTCAGCCATCATCATGGTTTATTCTCTTTGAGCAAGGGAGCTGAGCTGGGTGCCAGACCAGCAGAGTTGCCAGTCTGAGCATATGAAATACAGGATGCCCAGTTAAATTTGAATTTCAAATAAATAATGAATCATCTTTTAGTATAAGTGTACCCCCCAAACAATATTGGAGATATGCTTATCCTAAAAAAATGACTCGTTGCTCATCTGAAATCAAATTTAACTGGAAGTCCGTGCTTTATCTGGATCTGACTTGATCGTGCTCCCAGAGGACCAAGGCAAACACCAGTTCCCAGGATCTGGTGACACGCTCCAGAGGAAGGTGGGAGGGGCTCCCAAAAAGATGCTAAGGAAGAAAAGCAGAGAGAAGGTTTGAGAATGACCTTATGAAGAGTCTGAAGCTGGAAGGAGCAGGTGACTCCTAATCTAATCATCTCCAGTCACCATAGAAACCACCAAAGTCTGTCGGAAAAAACTGGTGAACTCCACCATCTACCACCTCTCTGCCAGGGTAGATCATTCACATTCCCCTCCCAGGATAGGTCTGGTCGGGGATGGTTCCACTGTCTCAGATTCTCTCCCAGGAGACAGCTGGGACCTGATCCTACCTTCTTCCTCCCAAGCCTCTTCTTCCTGCCAGCCACAGACTCAGGCTGTGGCTGCCCTGTAGCAGCTACCCTGTTGGGAGAGATAGCAACTGGATACCTAGCCCCGTGTCGCAGAAAAATCAGAGCCAGATAGTGGTTAACACAATACAAATAGATTTTATTCAGGACAATTGCAATAGAGGAAAAGAGACCTTGGTGTGGAATAGGGCTCTATTCCAAATACAGCCTGGGCAAGTGGGAATTTATAACCAAGAAGTGGGGTTGGGGGTTGGTGTATGGAAAATGATTAAGACGGATAACGGGGATTCTGGCTAAACCGACCTAACAGGATTCTTGCTGAAGACAGGCCCAGGTGATCAAACATCACCTGGGAGATAGTGGAGGATGAAGAACCCAGTAAGTTATGGAAAGAGATCAGATATGGAGGGTAGGGGTTCTGGTTAAACCAACTTAGCAGGGCTGTTGCCAAAACCGGATTTTATAGGGAAGTGCCCATACAAGAGTGGAAGAAGATTCAGGAGCTCACCTAAAGTTTGGTCAAGCAAAAAATCTTTGTCACCTGTCCATGAGGAGGTCACATTCTAGCAGGGGAACAGGACACAGGAGGGAAATGGCCCAAGGACATACAAGAAAAGCTTGTTCAGAACAAAACAGGTCTGACCTGGACTGTCCGTCCACCTATCTCTGTCCCTTCCTGAGTAGAGTGAATCTCCTAATCCAAAATGTGATTAAATTGATTGGGGAAACGTTCAATCTTTCAGACAAGACATAGGCAGGCAGTAAGCTTTGAATACAAATGCAGGAGTTTGCAGTGACGCATTTTATATCTGACTCTGGAAATGAGAGGCTCTTTGAAGGTAGCATGCAAATTTGTACAAAATGTCCCCAGCCAGAAAACTGGATCATGCACTTATGCAAATCATGAGACATGCTTTTTAAGGCACAGCCTTGGGTCCTTCTGTGTACCTCTCTGCTGGGCCAGTCCTGACCTCAGAGCAGCAATACCGATTCTCCCCATGGGGCCTCCCACTGCACTTCCACATCGGTCCTCCTTCCCTTTGCACACAAGCGCTGAATGTTATTGTTCCCATTTTACAGATAGGAAAGTAGGGCTCTGAGTGATGAAGCGACTAAGCCATGGTGACTTTGCTCTAAGGGGCAGAGCCAGCCAGAAGCTGCCCTCTCTCTCTGCCCTAGTGTAGGACAACTTGCACAGATGTCATTCCACTCCTGAAGATTCCACACTTTTAGAGGAACATGAAGAATGTCCTACGTCCCTCCACTGGCCTACTACCCACACACAGGATTCTGTGGAAGGGGCACCCCTAACACTTAGTAAATTTCTTCCCTTTGCTAAAAGTTTGCTAAATTTGCTCCCTTTCATGTAACTCCAATCTTCACAGAAGCTGCTGTCTTTAATCAAGACAATCAAATCTGAGCAATTCTAGACAACTTCTCCTCTGATGGCCAAGAACACCACACAGAGAAGACTGGCCCACCTTTGACTTTGTACAGGCTCAGAAAGTTTTGAGGTTTGGTTTGTGGCATGTTACTTAATCCAGGAAACCAGGGCTTCCAAAATTATGAGTCCACTCTCTATCCAACATACGCATTAAGCTCCATCCCTGAATTTCATCAAATAAGAATCCAGAGGATTTTGCAAACATTCCCACCCAGATTTCTCTCTACTTCTCTCAGAATTTCCATCTCCTGAGGCTCTGATGCCTCTTAACCCAAGGCTCACTGCCACCTGTAGACAGTAATGTTAACCCTAGTTTTCACCTGTGAAGCCTAGCCAGTTTGGCAGAGACCTGGAGCCTCACTCTAGCTCACCCCCCAGTGCGAAGGCTGGCTGGTCGCCCCCATGGCGTCCACATGGTTGTCTCTGCCTGGAATGCCCCCTTCTCCACCTGGAGCAATCTGGCTTCTCCTTCAAGTCCCTGCGCAAATCTCCCTGGAATTCCAGCTTCATGGGACTGCTGTGAGAACTGAGGTCAAGTACAGGTGGACACAGACAGGGGCACAGAGCCAGGACAGCACTGATTGTCACTGTCATGCCCTTGCTCCTGCTCCCCTTGAGAAATCCGCCCCTTTCCCAATTCCCTCTGCCTCTTGCCCACACTGCTGCACAGTGGACTGGTGTGCTCACCCCTCTCCTCCATAAAATCCTAAACTCCTTGAGGGCAGGGATCTTATCTTGCTTGTCTTTGGGACCTCATTCCTGGCACTTAGGGAGTTCCATGTATATTTGCCAATAAATCCCCCTGTCTCCTGGGCTCCAGGGACAGCAACTTGATGAATGTCAGAACACTGTGATAAATTAAAAGTCATTGTATGATGTGGCTGTGGACACAGACAAAGACTGTGCTGCTAGTAACATCATGTCGGGCTGGGAACACCACTGGTCAATAGGAATGTTTACTTTGGGACAGAACCTTTGGCTTGTGGGGAAAATGGCCCAGAGCCCCCACTAGGTGTGTCACTGTGGCCTGTAGGAACTGTCTGCAATAGGGACGGGGCTATCCAGCTGGTGTGGTCTGCCCTGTCTGCCCTCATGTGTCTCTACAGGCCCAGGGTCTCAGTTAATATTTTTTTATAACTGCATGGATTCTTTTTAAATCACATGAAACTAGTTGTGTTGTTGAGGACAAGAAGCTCAGAAGAAACTTCCTCTGTATCTGCATCTCTCTCACTGCCTGAAGAGAGCAGGCTCCCATGAAGGAAGCAGAAAAGTTCCCAGAAGGTCTGTGGGTCCCAGACACACTCTATGTTCACTCGTGCCTCTGTGCCATCCCACTGGCATTCCCTCCTCCGAGAACGCCCTTCCCCTCGTTACCCCCAACCTTTTGTCCAGGACCCCACTCGTGCACCTTCCCTGTCAGGTCTTCCTGCAATAAAGGGGTCTGGTGCAGTCCCTTCAGAGTTCTTCTGATTCAACACTGGTCATTTTCACAAGTTCAAAGCAGTCTTAGGGCCAGAACGAGGAGTTGGCAGGCAGGTCCTATGTCTGCACCTCAAGTAGTAACAGGGCCTGCAGTGATGGGGAAAATGTGTCCACTAGGTCGGAAGGAGTTGCCCCAAGGCTTTGCACTCCAGCATGTGGTGTGACGGGGCATGAGATGCAGACTAGAGGCCTAGAGATGAGGTCAGAGGACAGCTGGCGAGCTGAGAACTAGGATTTTAAAAGCCGTGAATCCTCAGCAAACAAGACCATTAGGTCTTTCTGCCACAGATGCCTCAGAGCAGCATCCTGGGAATCCGCGAAGGAGCACTGGTGAAGGGGCTGTGCCCAAGGTACGGATCTGAGGGAGACTGAAGAACCTACATGCACACCCCCGTTCCATCACTCACTAGCAAGATCATAAGCTTGGCTTCTCTCAATTTATGAGCTCACCGCTTTCCTCAGCTATAAAATGGTCTCCCGGGGAACTGGAACTAGATTCCTGAGCCACTTTTCTGGAAGATGTGAACAACTCATCCAGAGACACATTCCAGGCTTCCCGGGGGTTCCCTGTGCAGAAGAGATGCCCATGAGGACGTGTCCACTTTGTGATTGTCTCTGACATCATTCGGCTCGCGATCTCTTTAAACCGTTTACAGAACGCTCTGACATTCACAATGCATTCTCGTTGCACCGTCCCATCAGCCACTCTTACAAACGGGAAGACCTGGGCCCGTAACTGGCCACTGTCACCCTGCAGAGACCAGAGCGCCGGGGATCTGCTCCGCACAGACACCGCGGGCCAGCCCGGCGCCCGCCCGGGGGGCGGGGCCACGGCGCGGGGCGGGGGCCGGCGCGAGTCACGTGACGCCCGGCCCGGAAGCGCTCGCTCCCGAGACCCCCGGGTGACGGGGTCGGGAGCTGCCGTCGGGAGCGAGCGGGTAGGTCGCGGGGGTCCCTGCAGTTTCCCGCTCACCGCATCCGCCGCCATGGCCTGGACCAAATACCAGCTGTTCCTGGCTGGGCTCATGCTCGTCACCGGCTCCATCAACACGCTCTCGGCCAAGTGAGTCCGGGCCCGGCCGGGAGGGGAGGGGGCTCAGCCGGACCTGCCGCGGCCCGCAAGGGCGCCGGCGACCCAGCGCACTTTCCTCGTCCTCCTCCTTCTCGGCTCTCCTTTCCCGGCTTCACCGGCTCGCCTCGTTTCTCCGGTCGGTTCACGCGGTTTTGGGGCCCCCAAGGGGCGCGAGGCCCGGGGAAATACGGGCCGAGGCCGTGTCGCCGGCTGGAGGATCCGAGCCCCCGGCTTTGATCGCTGTGTGCTTGATCCCGGCGAGTCACCTCCCGACTCCATGCCTCAATTTCTTCATCTTTAAACGGAAGGGTCGGACCAGTTCCTCTCCGGCCCCTTCCAACGCTGGCTGGAGGCCGGGCCCTTCAGGAGCTTTGGGCAGGGGTGGGGTGAAGGGGCACTCCCGCACTTTTGCACACCGGCTACAATAGAAGCCATGAGGGCCGGGTGAGCAGTGAGCGTGGAAGGCTGCCGCGACAGAGATGGGGGTACCCCATGGGCTTCTCATTGAGGAGAGGTCAAAGCTGGCCCTTGACATTTTGGTGGGATTTCTACATGTGGCCAGACGTGGCTGCAGGGAACTGCAAGGCCACATCGAAGTGTCTCGTAACTAGCACCAAATGCCCAGGCCGCATTTTATCCCACAATCAAAGAAGGGCTTTTGAGCAGGGAGTGACGTGTTAAAGGTGATATGATGAACCGGGTGGTCAAGATGAAGAGTAGTTTCGTGCAGGGGAAACCACTGGGAGGCTGCTGCAGAGCAGATGAGGGAGGGAAGAGGGGGCAGTGAGGCAGGCAAGGAGGGGACAGGTGGGAGAGACCAGGTGCAGAATGAAGCCATAAGGCCTGACCCACAGGATCGAGAGAGAGAGAGACAGAGACAGAGACAGAGACAGAGACAGTGAGACAGTGACCCCTCCAGGGTTTCTGCCTGGGAGAACAGAAGTGTCATGAACCCAGACAGGGAGGGCAGGTGCACAGTTCAGCTGTGATGCATGAAGGTGAGGTGCTTGTGGGACCAGGAAGACAGACCCCAGGAGGTTAGGGATTGAGGACCCGGGGCTGTCACGAGGCCAAGGGTTTGAGCATAGCCTCCTCTGTAATGTACAGGAGACCCAGAAGGCAGCCCCTTCTCTTGGCAGTGCTTTGTCGCTTGCTCTGCCCCCACCTCAAGGCAGGGCCCTCCTGCCCCCTCAGTTTACCATTTCAGAACCCCCAGTACCCGGATCCTGGCCTTTTTCTGAACCGATTCCAAAAGGCATTTGGAGAAGAGTAGACAGTGGCCCTGTCCCAGCCAGACCTCACTTCCAGCTGGGCCCTGCCAGGCTCCACAGCAATGCAGAGTCACACCAGTCACCCGCTGGGCTGTGCTCGAGGCCCTCTGGGCAGTAGGGGGCTAGTCATCTCTTATTCATTGTTGAAGTGTTTGTTCAAATGCTCCAGAGGAGAGGCCTGGGAGAGAGGTATCCAGTTCAATTCATCAGCCTTGTATAAGGTACCGACAGGGTGTGAAGCACTGTCTGGACTCAAACTCAGAAGGTTTGAGAAGCTTAGAATCAGAGGTGAAGGGGACAGAGCATACACATTTGACAACCAGTGTCCTCCCTTCTCCAAAGGAAGTGCAGCTCTGGGTGGACCCCACCCCCCCCCCCCCCCCCCCCCCCCATCCCATCTCTGGTTTGTTTGTGTCTATGTTTTGAACTGGTCTCCTGAGCCCTGTGGCCTCCTTAACTGTAAAGGAGACTCAACACGAGAGCTCCCATCTCAGGATCTGAATGTAGCAGAACAAGTCGTCTGTCTGTCCATCTGTCATACCCTCCAAGGCCTCAGTCAAATGTTTAGGGAGTGGCTATAGGTCTGCCAGGGCTTCTGCCCCACGGAGAGTCAAGATGGCCAGTTATTACTGGGGTAAACTGACTCAGCTCCTTCCTGGCCAGGTAGGAGGCCCTGGGATCCTTGGCCTCAGGAGGCCTTGCCCTTGGAGGCTGCCTGAGGGGCAGGAAAGAGACTCCCATGTGGGGACCCAGGCTTTGGCCCCGTCCCCTGCCAGGTAGCCTGATGTGGGGCCTCTCAGGAACCTCCCTACCTCAAATGGGCCCCAGAATTGGACCCTAAACAGTGTTCTGAGGCCAGACTTTGAGAAGGACGCCCTCAGAGAGAAGATGTGAGAGAGCGGCTGTGTACATCCTGATGGGAATTATCGATTTGCAATCACACTCTGACCTGCAGTTTCTGGCAGGACAGACAGACTAGAAGGTGACCACAGCGAGTGCTAAGCAGCCGCTATAACCAGGGCCTGGCCCTGCTGTGGCTGCCTTTCATGTGTCGTTTAATGCACTCTCGTAACCGGCCTATGAGGGGGATAAACTCCCTGTCCCGGGATCAGGAGACTGAGCTATGGAGAGATGGAATCGCTTGCCCGAGTTCAACTCAGCTGGTCAGTGGCAGAGTTTATATTGAGCCAAAGTAATCTGGCTTGAGAATCCAGGCTCCTAACGATCACTATGGGATGAGGCTAGGGACTTCTCAAGTCATTTTTCAGGGCATTTAAAGCTGTTAGAAACGTAGAAACCACCCATCCTAACCCCCACAATTTATAGTCTAGGTCCCACGAGAAGTTTCTTTTTGTGACTAGCTGGCTGGTGTCAGAGTGGGGACCAGAAGCTAGGTCTCAGCATTTTAGTCCAGTCCTTTTACAGTGGCAGTGTCCCAAAGTCCCACTTCCTTGGGGATCGCCTCTCGCATCTCCCCAGGGAGAGCAGCCAAGCCTGGCCCATGGAAGTTGTAGTCCCACAAGCGACAGCTCCCCTCCCTGCCGCCAGAGTGCCCTCCCTCTGGGACTGGGCAGCAAAGCTCTGTCCCAGCCCAGGGGATCCTGCCGTCACCCTGCTTCGTTTCCCCCTGGAGGCAGGGGGCCACTCACGGTTCTCATTTAGTGTCTCCAGTAGCCTCTTTCAGTTCCTTGACCTGTAAAATGTCCGGGGAAGGGGGAGCACCACAGGGCGGCTGTCCCCTGGAGGAGGCCACTCTGCCTGCTCAGCAGGTCTGGTGGGTAGGCTGCAGGAGACAGGCCTGCCCTTGCTGAGATGGGGGCAGGGGTCACATACCCACAGCAGAAAGCCACCCATCGGCCTGGCCCTTTAGCCCTGTCCCTGGGCCTCGGCAAAGGGCCCTTCCAGTCCAGCGGTCGCTTCTCCTTTCTGTGGCTGCTTTCGCCCCCGCTCACCGGGACCTTCTGCTCATGCGTCTCCTGCACAGCAGACAATCCCCACTCCCTCAGCACTGCTTAGGGCTGTGCCTGAACGAGTGTCTGTCCGTGAGGTCCTGCCCATTTTGGAGCCCCGTTCTCCTGAATCCAGCTGGGCTTCTGCATGTCCAGAGCCAGGGTCAAGCAGAGGCTTACTAAGTAAGGCTCAGGTGCCCTCCTAAATGTCGCAGGCTGTGAAGGCCACCCAGCCAGAGAGGGGCGAGGGGGTGACTTCCCCTCCAACAGGCCCCTGGGGTGGGGACCCTGCCACAAAAGTGGCAGGAAGCCTGGGACCCCTGGGTCTCTAATAGGGAAGGACCCCCTGTCCTTCCTGTGCCAGCTCGAACTTCTGCCTTGGTGGCTGACCCCACCCTTAAATTCCAGGAGCTGGCCTGGGATAATTGCCTCAAAGGGGTTCCTGCACCAGCCACAGAAAGCCTTAAACCAGGAGGGCAGCGTGTAGAGTGAAAAGAGTGCAAGGCATGGGAGTTTATGGGATTAGACGAGTCACTGGGCCTCTCCAAGCCTCAGGTTCATCTGTAAAATGGGCTTGACTTCCCTCCCTTCTTCCCAGACGCAGGGTAGGCTCTACTGAGGAAGATTGGGTAATACTTAGATGAGAGGTCGCGTGATCGTTTATCACCGACTGCTGTGACACCAAAGAGCGGAGCAGCCCTGCAGCCTTGCTGGAGATCCCAGGCAGGAGAAAGACGCTGACTCACTGGGCTTAACAAGCTGGGGGCGCCAAAGGAAGTGGCAGAGATTCTGTGGGGAACTGGACACCCAACTGTCAGTCTGAGCGAGCCACATCAGTCACTTCCTCAGTCTGTCGGCCCCCACTGCCCTCGCGTGCCCACGCACACCTCTCAGAACGCTGAGCTCTGAGTTTGGCCAGGCCGGAGTGACTCACCCCCAGCCAGGGGACCCCACCCCCGGCCTGCCGAGGCCCCTCCTAAAAGAAGCCGGTCTCCTAGCTCAGTCGGTAGAGTGTGCGACTCTTGATCTCAGGATTGTGAGTTCGAGCCCCATGTTGGGTGCAGAGATTACTTTAAAATTTTTTTTTTAATGTAAAGAAAAAATTATAAAAGAAGCCAGTCTCTGCCAGCAGAAGGCATCTCCTCATGTAGCGTCAGCCTGACTCTCGGGGGTCCCCACAGGCCTCCCCTTCTGCCCACGTGACCATGGCAGAGCCGGCCTCTCCACTTCAGCCAGGGGAGTGGGAAAAATCTGGAATAAGAAGGTGATGGGAGAGGGGCACCTGGGTGGCTCAGTCGGTTAATGACCTGCCTCCGGCTCGGGTCATGATCCCAGGGTCCTGCGATCGAGTCCCACATCGGGCTCCTTGCTCAGCAGGGAGCCTGCTTCTCCCTCTGCCTGCCTCTCTCCCTGCTTGTGCTCTGTCTCTCTCTGACAAATAAATAAATAAAATCTTAAGAAAAAAAAAAAAGAGGGTGATGGGAGAAATTCATGGAACTGGAAGTGGAGACCCCTGGGATCTAGCCTTTCTCGGCACCAGATGAGCCCTCTGTCCCTCAAGAAGGGGCTTCCACACATGCCCTCGCCTTAAGCTTGTAGTTGACCTTCATGGGCTTGGCAAAACCTCCCTTGTTCCTCCTGGAGGAGCCCTGGCTCCAGCTACAGGAATTTCCATCTCCAACTTGCTTTGGGGCAGTTGGCTCTGCACTTTGGTAAAGCAGGACCTCTTTACGCTTCCTTGCTTCTCTTCTGTTATACTCAGTTGCCTCACCCAGGCCCTCCCAGAGTGCTCTTTCTGCAAGAGAAAGCCTGAGTTGGAGAGCAGACCTGCCTTGAGGGGGGCCACACCGTTGTCTGTGGCCCCCACCTGCAACCCATGTCCTGTCCGGCCTGGGGATCCCAGAGCCAGAACTTGCAGCAGATGGGGCAGAAATGAGACCCCACAGAGCGGGTGGTTTCTTTAGTTGTGACTTTCTTCGCCCCATTGGTACTGGGACTGGTTACAGCCTAGTCCCCTGACCCAGATTTCTCTCCACGTTTCCAACGGGTCCTGTGAGACCTTCTTGCCACCCTTCAGCTCTCCTTTGACCCTCACCATTCCCAAGAACCACAAGCCCTCCTAACTGCCCCTCCTGGCATCTCTGGGGTGGGCGGGGTCTCCCGCTGAGAGCTCGCTCACTGTGAGCTAAGTTTGCCCTAGCCCTGGTTTGTTCACTGGCCCTGGAGTGTGTTCAGATCAGTGAATAGATGTGGTCTCGCCCTCAGGGCTGATGGGGAATTCTACCACCATTCAGCCTGCCCTTCCTGCTGCCAGCTTCCAGGCGTCCCCTGTCCCCTCCCCAAACTCAGGGCACAGGGAAGCCAGCGATGACCCAGCCCTAACCAGTGTCCCAGGCTTGCAGCCCTGTGAGGCGCACAGAAACAAAAGCCTTCCCCCTGCCTTTTGAAACCTCAGGCTGGTTGCTGAAATGAGCCAGCGGAGAAGGGCCGGGGACTACCATGTGGCTGCTCTTGACAGACATTGTTTGGAAAGACATTTAAGAAAAAGAAGTCCTGAGTCTTGTAGTTTAGAGACAGCCACCGCCTAGGCGTGGGGTGCTGCAAAAGGAAAGGGTCCAGGGCCCACAGGACACTGCCGTGGGTCCGCATTGACTCGAGTCAGCTGCGTGATGTGACAGACTCCATTAGAGCCGTGGCAGCAAATGACAGGATGTGCAACATGAAGGAGGGGCTGCTGTCTTGCCAGGCTCGGTCCTGGCCAGATCCCATGCACTTACCTCGGGGCCTGGGCCCACCTGAGTGCTTCCAGAAGTCAGCAGCCACGGGAGTGAAAGGTTAGGAACAGCTGGGGCTGTTTAGCCACAAGATGAGAAGATTCGAAAGAAGGTAAGAAAGTCTCCGAATATCTAAAGGACTTTTTTTTTTTTTTAAGGTTTTATTTACTTATTTGTCAGAGAGAGAGAGAGCACAAGCAGGGGGAGAGGGAGAAGCGCACAAGGCCTGATCCCAGGACCCGGGGATCATGACCTGAGCCGAAGGCAGACGCTTAACTGACTGAGTCACCCAGGCGCCCCTAAAGGACTTTTAAATGAAAGAGATTAGATGAGACCCCAGGGACCCAACGAAGCCCAGCAAGAGTGAAATTGGGGACAGGAGCTTTAGTGCAAGGGCGGCAGACAGTGCAGAATGACTGGTGGTAGCTGCCCACGGCGCTCTGCCGCAGAGGATTCTGGGCTTGCGTCTGGGGTTGCTAGGGAAGCGTGCCAGACTCAGTGATGCCATCTGGCAGGGTGCTGGCCGGGAAGCCGCTCCACTAGTGCCATGTACTTGCCACCTGCTTCCCAGTTAGTGCTAGAAAGACCCTCCAAACGCTGCAGGTTATAGGAAGGTGACCAGGTGTGTCAAGCAGTCATTTCCCAAGGGCCCAATGCCCTTGCAGACCACAGGCTCCTGATATTTTTTGTGCCATCGGTCCATTTGACACTCTGGTAAAGCCTAGAATATTGTTTTTAAATGTGCATTTAGGGGCGCCTGGGTGGCTCAGATGGTTAAGCATCTGCCTTCGGCTCAGGTCATGATCTCAGGGTCCTGGGATGGAGCCCCGCATCGGGCTCCCAGCTCAGTGGGGAGTCTGCTTCTCCCTCTTCCTCTGCCTCCCCCCTGCTTGTGCTCTCTCTGCCTCTCTCTCTCAAATGAATGGGTAAAATCTTTTTTAAAAAAAATGCAATTAAAGGTTTGGACTACAGAAAAAGTCACTTATGTTGAAATAAAGTTATCAAAACATTGAAAAAGCCAATTTGTGCTATAGTAATATCGTGTGTATACAGTTCTTGACACAGAATATTATAAGCAGTGGGTCTAATTACTGTGATTTTGTAGTAGCGATGATTGTAAATGCCACTTCCTGGTTCCTGCAAGGACTCTGATGTGCCACCGAGAAGAGTAGCCGTGACTTGTGTGTGTGACAAAGTCACAGGTACTGCGGGGCTACATTCACAACGTGAGGAAGTGCTACATTTCAGCTAAAGGTTTCTGCCCCGCCCCCCCCCTTTGCTGTCCACAATCCCAGATGAAGACTTCCTGCTGCGGGAGCTGGCCTCTTGGAGAGGGAGTCTCACGCCAAGCCAGGTCCCCGAAGTCTGGCCTCGGCGTTGAGAGGAGCGAGCTTGTCCACAGATACCGGGGCCAGAGTTGCAGAGCCAGCGCACTGCCAAGGGTTTGACCTTCTCTGTCTCTCCGCTGCAGGTGGGCAGACAACTTCGTGGCCCCAGGCTGTGGAGGGATCAAGGAGCACAGCTTCCAGCATCCCTTTCTCCAGGTATCTGCCCAATCCATCCCCACCTCCTATCGCCCGGGGCTCAGGTCAGGTGTCCCCTGTGAGGCCCTGCTGCTTCCTGACCTGGGGTGGAGCCTGCCTCTACTCCCAGAAGAGCCATCACTCTCTCCCTCCCTCCCCGGAACAGAGGCCAGGATGTGAGTGCCCACGGAATGGGGCAGAGGGCACAGCCCTCTCTGGGAGAGCTGCATGATTCCCGGGGAGCAGTCATGCCCTGGACACTGGAAGGCCAGCCCTCACACGTCCACGTCAGGACCCATTTGGAACACATCAACCCCAGTAGCAAAACCGGCTTGCCATCCATGGGAAGCCCAGACTCCACTGGGGTAGGGCAGGCAACATAAATGGAAGGCACCGTATGGCCAAACTGGGAAGCAGAGGCTCATATTTCAGCCCCTGCTCTCCCAGCAATTTGCTCTGTGACCCTAAGTAAGTTCCTGAGCTTCTCTGGGCCTCCGTTTCTCCATCTGGAACATGACCAGAGGTTGGCCTAGATCGGTGGTTTTCAGACCAGGCCCTGTGCAGCCTTAGGGTTTCCGTTGAGATGTTTCTAGGGGTTAGGGCTTAGGCCTAGGAGGTAGTCTCTGGCCTTCCACACACAGCAGCTCTGCTTTTGTCTGGTTTAGGTGTCAAGTCATAGGTAAGCTTTTGTGTGAAGACGGGCTGTGTTAAAATTTTGTCAAAGGTGATTCTCCTTCCATCTCTGAACTTGTAGGGTTCTGTCCCTGCAGGCAGTGGGCATGTTCCTGGGGGAGTTGTCCTGCCTGGCGGCCTTCTTCCTGCTCCGGTGCAGAGCTGCGAGGCACCCAGATGCCAGCATGGATCCCCAGCAGCCCTTCAACCCCCTTCTTTTCCTGCCCCCTGCCCTGTGCGACATGACAGGGACCAGCATCATGTATGTGGGTGAGTAGCCAGGCCAGGCTGAGAAGGGCCCGAGGGGGCACTGGTGAAACAGCCACCCCTACCCCTGCTCACCTCAGCCCTGCCTCTTCCCAGACTTACACACGCATGTGCATGCGTGCGAGCAAGATTTACTGAGCACATACTTATGTGCAAGGTGTGTCTTCAGCCCTGAGGGCACCTCAGGGACTAGATAGCCTTGGCCCTCAGGAGCTAATATCGTGTGTCTCTCCTCTCCCAGCCCTGAACATGACGAGTGCCTCCAGTTTCCAGATGCTCCGGGGCGCAGTGATCATATTCACGGGCCTATTCTCAGTGGCCTTCCTGGGGCGGAGGCTGGCGCTGAGCCAGTGGCTGGGCATCCTTGCCACCATCGTGGGGCTGGTGGTTGTGGGCCTGGCCGACCTCCTGAGCAAGCATGATGATCAGCACAAGCTCAGCGAAGTGATCACAGGTGCAGTGAGGGTCGGGGACCCAGGGGCTGCCCATCTCGTCCTGTCATCCCTGGGAGCCCAGCACAGTCAGTCAGCAGACTTTTTGCAAGCTCTTCTCTATGCCCAGCCCTGGGTGTGGGTGCATGGGGGACGCGGGCCTGCATCTGCTCTTGAGGTGATGGATAGAGTGCAGAAAAGCACAAGCAGCATGAGAGGGAGCGGGAGGCCAGAGGAGGGAGGTTTGTGCTGTGACACACACACAAATTGCTGGGTCCGGGATGGGGAGGGACTGAGTGTCTATTGAGTGTTTAGCAAGTACCCAGCCCGGCAGCCTCTTCGACAATGACGGGACCCCTCTGGTCCTCAGAGGATGGACTAAACCAGAAACGTCTATCACCAAGCCTTGTGCATCTCAGAAGACCTGCTTATTACCCCGCTGTGCCCCTCACAGTCCCAGGCGGGCCTCTGGATCTTCTGGAGCCTCGGCCCAGAGTGGTAACGGTGCCTGCCCTGCTGGCCTGCCCCACCTCTCAGGGGCCAGGAGACCAGGCATGGGGCTGTCATGACTGCCTCACGAACTATATGCTACCCTGCCAAATCGGGGGCTCTGGGGGTTATCGTGTCCCTATGGGAGCCATCTACCCCAGCACTGGGCCCACCCCCCTGCCGAGGGCCCCGTGGCCATGCTCCATCCTCGCCCGCCACCCCCACCCCATGCAGCCCAGCCTTACCCTGGCTCGCTTCCCCACAGGGGACCTGTTGATCATCATGGCCCAGATCATCGTCTCCATCCAGATGGTGCTCGAGGAGAAGTTCGTCTACAGGCATAATGTGCACCCGCTGCGGGCGGTTGGCACTGAGGGTGTGTGAGCACAGGGGCTGAGAGGGGTAGCTGCTGGGGGGGCACCCTGGACGGTGGCATGTGGATGCACAAGCAGGAGTGCAGGGCAAGGTGCCGGGGTCCACGGGGAGGGGATGAGCCCCCGCCCCCAATCCTCCCTCCCTTCCCGATGTGTGTGCTGACAGAGACTGACCCAGGAGCTGGGGGGGCACGAGGTCGAGGATGAAGGGGATGCACGGCCCACTCTGGAGGAGTTGGTCAACAGGGAAGGACCAGACAGTGCCTTTGAGCTCAGACCACTTGTGCTCAAGTGCTGTTTCACTTGACAAGCACATCTGAGTGTCTTCAGGATGGGGAAGGTGGTGGTCGAGCTACAACAAGAGTGGGAAGGAGGGAAAGTTCCAGACAGAGCAAAGACATGGGGAGCTGGCCATGAGTGTCAAAACATAGTAAGGAGTGGTTGGTGAGATACAGGTTTGATGTTGGGACACTGATCGGGAATTGAATAGGTCAAGGTCTTATTATGGAGAACCTTGAATGTCAGGCAAGTGGATTTAATCCAGACTTTAAATGACAGACAGGGTGGAACCACCAAAAGTTTTTGAACAGGGAAGTAACTACCAAAACCTTTAAGCTTTAAAAATACGAGGCCAGCAGGGCAGATGAGCACAGCACGGGCCATGTGTGGCCTGTGGACCCGGCAGGGAGCTGTGCGTGCACCACGGGCTCCTGGCACAACGTTAATCATCTCGATCCACTGCATTATCAAGCACATTGTTGTATCCACTCGGTTTCTTCCCCAGTGAGGCTTTCTGAATGGAGCAGTGCATTGATTCACATTCTGGTCCACTCCTGGTCACAGACCAGTGACCCTGAATTAGAGAACACTTGTTTTTCCACGCTTGTGAGAGCAGTGTCCTGGTTGCAGCTGCCATTCTTTTGTAAATGCATACAACAGAATTTAGGAATGACAGAGAACATTGGAAGGGTAGCTATTATTTTGTGAAAGTGCGTGTCTGGGTACGCACCTGTGCATACATACACCGGTCACGATATAAAATGTATTTATTATTCTTGGTCCAGTCAGAAAACATGATTAAAGTGGAGAAGGGCAGCTAGGGCCCCCTCAGTAGGCCGCTCTGAACTCTGGATGAACAGGAAGGAGCTGGTGTGAGGCCGCCAAGAGGGGTGGCCCACCAGGAGGTTGGCCGGGAGGGAGACCAGCGGAGCCCCTGCTGGGTGGGCTGAGCTGGGGATGGGGAGGGGTGGGGCGGGAGCTGAGCAGAGAGTGCAGTGTGCTTCCTCCACCCCCACAGGCCTCTTTGGCTTCGTGATCCTGTCCCTGCTGCTGGTGCCCATGTACTACATCCCCGCCGGCTCCTTCAGTGGAAACCCCCGAGGGACGCTGGAGGACACGCTGGACGCCTTCTGCCAGGTGGGCCGACAGCCGCTCATCGCCCTGGCGCTGCTGGGCAACATCAGCAGCATCGCCTTCTTCAACTTTGCGGGCATCAGCGTCACCAAAGAACTGAGCGCCACCACCCGCATGGTGCTGGACAGCCTGCGCACCATTGTCATCTGGGCACTGAGCCTGGCGCTGGGCTGGGAGGCCTTCCACCCTCTGCAGATCCTGGGCTTCTTCATCCTCCTGATGGGCACCGCCCTCTACAATGGGCTGCACCGCCCGCTGCTGACTCGCCTGGCCAGGGGTCGCCCACCCTCAGCAGAAGAGGGCGAGCATGAGAGACTGCTCGCTGGTGCTCGGACTCCCATCAATGATGCCAGCTGAGCCTCTGGTGGGTTCTCTGCTGCTACCTGGATGCACCTTGTCCACCCTGAGGCCGAGGCCACACAGTGGACAGTGTCCTGTCCCCAAGGCCTCACCCTGCCCCTCCTCACAGACCCCCGAGCCCCCCAGAGCAGCTGCTGCCACAGGAGATGACCAGACACCCAGGTCCTCCTTTGTCACCACCCCCGGCAGCCCCCACAGGCCTGAGTGCGGTGACCCTACGCCCTGCCAGGTTCCCACCCCACACCCCCCAAGCCCCTCCTGCAGCACTAGCACTAAATCATGAAGTGGTATCGCAGGAACTAACATCCCTAAGATTTCCTCCTAAATCATACACTAAATTTGGTTCTCCAGAGAAGAGAGGTCAGTGAACAAATTCAAACCGGAACTAAGCGCCATATTTTCTAGAACTTGTAGGCTCTTCGCTAACCCTGTCTTGGAGACCTAAGTTTTAGCTGGACTCTGCCACAAACACAGCATATGTCCCCCAGCCCATTAGCTACTGGCCCTGGGCCTTTGGGTCCTTGTCTGTAAAGCAGAAGGTGCAGTTGCTGCGGCTTCAGTACCTTCCAGCCTCTGCGGGGCCCACCCTGCGGGAGAGGAGGAGCCCGTTCCTTGGAACGGACCCTTTGCCCACAGTGCCTCCTCCCCGTGCCAGTGTTAGTCCTTGCTCCCACGCTCTCAAGGCCTCCCTGCCTGCGGGAGATGTCGGGATTTCCAAGCAGCCCTTAATAGCAGCTTCTATGAACTCTTCACCTTCCATTTTAAAGATGAAAAGACTGAGGCCCAGGGACGTAAGTGGTCTTGTAAGAAGACTCTCCTGCTGTGGACTCTGGCCATGCACTTGGGATCCAGAGCACATCTGGACCTCAACCCCACCCCCAGCAACCTGACTCCCTAGATATCCCTCCAGGGTGATGAATTTACAGCACCGCACCATTTAGAGTAATTCTGGTATCCTAGGCATGTGTTAAATGCTCAGCGGTAATCCTCTGGCGTAACAACCTGCTCAGGTGCGTGCAGATGAAGCCGTGGCCCAGAGGTGGTTAACTGGCTTCCTCACGGAACCAGCAGTCCAAGCTAGGTTTGCCTGATTCCAAACCTGCAGCTCCACCCACCGTACAGGTCTCTGGGGTCGTCGGGGTAAATTTCCCATGGCCGGGGTAAAAGCTTCATGTGCTGTTGCCCTCCCCACCCTGAAGAGAGGGGACTGGTATTGGGGGCCCCAAGGAGCGGAGCAGCTCTTCCTTATGGAGTTCCTCACTCCGTGGCAGTTTCTGGAACCTCAGACCATTTTTCTGGGCAGCTCAATCATAAAACAAAACACCGAATGCCTTCCTTAAAATAGATTCTGGGGGAAGGGATCTTTGACAAACAAAGCCCTCAGGCTGTGTGGAAATCAGCAGGTTATTACAGTTTGTTGGGAGAGGAGGGCCTCTCCATGCCACCAGCTCCGAGTCCCAGGGGCCCCGGAGTTTTTGTGGGTCACAGTGTGTGCCACAAAAGGAAATGGAGGGTAAGTGTGGTGGGGACTCCAGCCGCCCTGTCCAAAACAACTGGGACCTTACAGTGTCGTTCTAGGCTCTGTTTTTAAAAACAAAAGGGAAATTGGCAGTGTGGCTTTTTTTTTTTTTTTTTTTTTTTTTTAATGGGAGGGAAGGAGCACAAGGGTTAAACATCAGGCCTGCCACCAAATCAGGCAAATCACTTTAGCTCTGGAGCTTTGGGTCTTCACATCTCTAAAGTGGGAAAGCCGGCCCTCCATCTTGCTGGATGAACGCAAAAATCACGTGAGATAATAAATCGAAGGTGCCTGTAAATGCCAGCGCACAGTGGACTGTCATGTCAGGCCGCACTGCCCACCAGAGTGGTCTGCCGGGGGCACGGAAGTCCCAGCAGAGGCCCAACACGGAGCATCAGTTTTTGCTCAGAGGGGAAGAAATGTTTTAAAATACACCATCATGGAAAAAAATACACCATCTTTGAGGAGAATACAAAATTCCCATCTATTTTAAGACAAAACAAGATGCCTCAAGAACACTTTATGCCGACGGTAGATACCCTCCCAGCCCCCGGAGATGCGTTCACTCTCTCCTGTCGCTCGGGTGCTCTGGAGGGTGAGTTCGAGAGGCCTTGCTGGTCGTGTGGGCAGGAGGGTAAGGACCACCACTCTCTCGCTGAGTGGAGTAAGGGGGTTTGGAATGGTGGAAGTTTGGTGTGGAGGTTCCAAACCCCAAAATCAGAACTGACTGGTAATGGGCTTCTGTAAACATCAGTTCGAAGACTGTAATTTAAACCATGTGCATCGTAGCCGACTGCTCAATCCCTGCCCCTTGCAAAGTGGTCTTGGAGGGAAGCCTAAGGCAGGTGGTACCTGCAGGACCGCGATGTAGCACCTGGGGTGGCCCTCGGGCTCCTCCACCAGGAATCTGCCCGCAAGGCAGAGATTTAGCACCATACCAAGTGGTTCCATTTGCCTTCACTTTGTACAAAGGTCTCTGCTAGTTTGACAAACAGCGGTCTCAAAGAGGTCAGATCTCTGACCCCTGCTGAGGACAGCAGGAGGAGTGGAGCATAGGGCCTCCTGGTGTAGAGGAAAGAAGCAGAATCAGAAGTCAGCTGTGTTCGCAGCCCCACTTCGACTTTGGGTGACTTTGGACAAGTCATGTGACCTCTTAAGACCTTAGCTACCTAAGAGGTTCTCAGCATTACTAAATATGTATACCTCCCTGACGCGCTTACAGATTAACCTCATGCTTTCATATTTGCCTTGGTTAAAAGCCCCTTTGGCCTTTTGTTGACTACATCCTTTCTAAACTTAAGGTCAACAGGGAATTTCCCCTAGCTATAAAAGTTTATAAATCATCCATCTTCATTTGGAACACTTGTCAAAAAATATCAGTGAAGGATTACTATCTCAGAATTTAGCCAACTATATTGGGAATGGATGTGCTCCAAGGGCTGTGGATCTGTGAAAGAAAAACAGGAGACAAATGTGTAAAGAAAGAATTCCAGCACAGTGTGATGTGCACAAGAGGCCTTTGTATGAGATACAAAGGAGGCTGTATAGGAGTGATCAGCTAACAGCCGAGAACCAGAGAGCTCCACTTGAGCTGGATGTTAAAGACTGGGCAAGAGTCCCCGGGGAGACTTCCTCCAGGAGGAAGGAACAGCTTGTAAAAAAGCACAGAAACCTGTAAGTGATGTATTCAAGAACTGCAGGTAAGTAGACAGGTATGCCAATGAGCATGCAATGCTAAAAGTGGCCAGAGACAAGGTCAGAGAGGTGGACAGGCGCCCAGGTGGTGCTTTTAGATTTTGCTGAGGCATGAGAACTCTGTCTGTAGACAGTAGAGTACCCTGGGGGAGTTTTAGGCAAGGGAGTGATGTGCTCCAAATTGCTGTTTGGAAAGATCACTAAAGGCAGAGACCAGTGAAACAACGTTTAATTAGAGTCTGAACTAGAGAAATGGTGAATGAATGCAAGAGCCATTCAAGGAGTAGACCAACATTTTTAGAGCCCTTGGCTGTCGGATCTTCTGTTGCATAAGCCACCACCAAAGAGTGGGTCTTCTGGACCAGACTGCTCACCCCACCCTCCATCACAGTAGAACCACGAGTGTCCCCAGCTACAGCTGCTTCCCTTTTCTTTCCTGCCTTCCTTTGCCCTCATTTTCCCTCATTTTAAAACTCATAAAATACACACAACAAAACACCATTTTGACCGTTGTGAAGTGTTCAGTGGCATTAAATTCTCGTCGTTGTGCAGCGGTCACCACCATCCATCCCCAGAACTTTTTTATCTTCCCAAACTGAAACTCTGTACCCACTCAACACTACTCCCCATTCCTCCTTTCCCGTGAGCCCCAGACAACCACTATCCTACTTTCTATGAATTTGACTACTCTAGGTACCTAATGTAAGTGGAATCATACAGTAGTTCTCCTTTTGTGTCTCTTGTGTTTTGCTTACCACAATGCCTTCAAGGTTTATTCATGTTGTAACATATGTCAGAATTTACTTTCTTTTTAAGGCTGAATACTATCTCATTGTATGTATGCACTACATTTTGTTTATTCATCCATTTGGACATTTTGGGCTATTGTGAATAACATTGCTGTGAGCAAATACCCGTTCAAGTCCCTGCTTTTAATTCTTTTGAATGTATACCCAGAGGCGGAATTGCTGGATCATATGGTCATTCTACATTTAATTTTTTTGGCTGATCAACATACTATTTTCCACTCTGGCTGCACCGGTGGACAAGGGTTCCATGAAATCACTGATTTCGTAATGACATTTTCCCTGATTAGGATACATGTTAACTGGAGAACGTTTAGAAAATGCAAGAAAACAAAGTGTAGAAAATAAAATCTCCTTTTTTCTAACTATCCAGATGTATATTTGGCCGGAAGGCGTATTATCTCCAACATGAAGGGAAGGGGTCGTTTCCCTAGGAGGATTCTACTGCAGTGCTGGAGAGTGGGATCCAAGACATGGTCATATCCTGGCTGTCCCACGACCCCAGTCATCAATAACGTTCATGCAGTTAAACTGGCTTCTGAGCCATATTCGTGGGATGTTCCTGGGAGGGTCACAGGGGCGACAAGGGGTTGTCCCATTCTCTGGGGGTCTGTCTCCTCATCTTTAAAAACCACTTCAGGGTTGATAGGGCAAAACACAAAATGTTTTAATAAAGTGATTTCTCTTGAGAAACGCGTTCTACAAACGCACTAACTACATCTTCAGGGTAGAGCTTTCTTTTTCCAGCCACAGAGTGCCCGAGGACGAAGGTCCGATCCCTCAGAACTGAGCACCCGCCCCAGCGGGCAGAGGGCAGAAGTTCCCGCCTCCTTTCACTTCTCCAGGTTCCCATTGGCTGATTCCTACCGTCGATCCGCTACGTCCCCGCTCTCTCCTCCTATCGCCGCTAGCCTTCCGGCCTGTGCTCTCATTGGCCCTCCCCGCAGTCGCTCAGCGCCAGGGGCGTTCCAGAGGCAGCCACTGGGAGTTGCTGAATTCTGGTTTTAAAAAACGCCGCCAGTGAAGTGGCAGTGCGGGCTCTGGAACCGCGGTGGCGCGGGGGACGGCCGGAGCGCTCACCTGGTCGGGCACGCGGCCGGGACGTTCCCGGGCTTCTCCCCGGACGCTAGCCTCTGTGCCCGGACCCCGAAGGCCGAGAAGAAGCTGCGGGTCCGCCACCCTCCGAGCCCGCCATGGGCCCGCGCCGCCGGAGCCGCAAGCCCGAGGTCCCAAAGAGGCGCACGGTGAGCCCGGCCGCCGGCACACCCCGGCGGGGCCCCTCAGGTAACCGGCCGCGGCCCCTGGTCCTCGAGCCGGCCTCCTTGCAGCCTGGCTGTGATCCGCGTGCCCATTTCACAGACCAGAAAACCGAGCTCACTTGCGGAGCCCGGGTCCGAATCTCCCGACTTCCGGCTGGCGCTCCCCTGCGGACGGGCAAAGCCCTGCTGCGGGTCGCACCTGCTCGGGCCCGGCCCAAGTTCCAGGCCCCGCAAGGGACTGGGGAAAGCAGGTCGGAGGAGGAGAAAGGATGGCCCAGGCGGCCTGGCTCCAAATACTAATTCTTGCTACAGCTCGCATTTAAGTAATTGCCACTAACCAGTAATTGTGTTCAACTCCTTCCGTGAATTATCTCAAGTTTACATTGTGCCCATTTTACAGATGAGAAAACTGATGCACAGACAGGCCCGGTAACTTGGAACAAGGTCACACAGCTTGCTCCAGCAGACAGGATTTTTAAGTGTTTGTGCTTTTTCCAAATTGCAAAATTATCGGCCGCTTTTTGTGACAATTTCAAACAGTTCTACTTCTGGAAGGTGCCCTTCCAGGTGTCCTTATGCGTGTGTGTGTTTCTTCAGTAGTGGCGTTTTTGGGCATTAAGTAGAGTGCTCTCACCTTGTTCCCTTCCTGAGGTTTTGGGCCGTGAAAGAAGACAGATCTGTGGTCCTGTGGTCTGGTGGATGGGAGACCCACCCGGCAAGAACTGTTCCTTGTGGCAACCACTGCTTTACTTGTCTCCTGCTCCATAGTTAAGAGCAGGGTGAAAAAAGTGTATCATGGGTTATTTTCTTTCCTGAACCTTATATTTTTTTTTTAAGATTTTATTTATTTATTTGACAGAGAGACAGACACAGAGAGAACACAAGCAGGGGGAGCAACAGAGGGAGAGGGAGAAGCAGACTCCCCGCTGAGCAGGGAGCCAGACCTGGGGCTCGATCCCAGGACTCTGGGATCATGACCTGAGCCAAAGGCAGATGCTCAACCCACTAAGCCACCCAGGCGCCCCTTTCCTGAACCTTAATAACCTTTGCATCCAGCCAACTTGCTGAATTCTCTTAATTCTATTGTTCAGTTGCTTTGCTTGAAATGATTGAGTAGGTTATTGTCTGCAAATAAGGACTTTTTTTTTCTTTTTTTTTTTTTAGATTGATTTATTTATTTGACACAGAGAGAGAGAGAGAGAGCACAAGCAGGGGGAGCGGCAGAGGGAGAGGGTGCAGAGAGGGAGCAGACTCCCCACTGCGCAGGCTTCATCTGAGGATCCCTAGATCATGACCTGAGCCAAAGGCAGACAAGACGCTTAACCGACTGAGCCATCCAGGCGCCCCTGCAAATAAGGACTTTTGAATCTTCTTTTTCACTTTTATATATTTTATTTCTTAGTGTATTTTATTAGTGAGGCCCTGAGATTAGTACTGAAATAAGAGCAGTGTTTTGGCCATCTTTGTCCTGTTTTTTCCTTTCTTTCTTTTCTTTTTCTTTCTTTTTTTTTAAGTAGGCTCCACGCCCAGAGTGGAGC